CCCGGCCCCATCCCATGCCGCCTTGCCTGGCTGGTGGGAAGATGAGAAACATTTCTGCTGCTCAGGAGGTTCTTCTTGGCCCCCACATTCAGTGAAGCTCCAGGGCCAGGAGAAAGTCCAGGGGAGGTTCTTTCCATTTGTTTTTGTTTTTGTTTTTTCCCAAAGAGATAGGTCAGAAGGTTTGCCTTTGAAGGAAAAAACACCGGGTCCTGGCAGCTGCTTTCCCCCGTGGCCAGTCCTGAGGAGCAAGTGCATCTCTTGCTTTCTCAGGAAGAAGGGGAGAGGCAGTGGAATGGGATTCTCCCAGACCGTCTGAGCCTGCAAGGCAAGGGCCTTTGCCCCTGGGGAGCAGATGACAGAGACCCACCCTTGCTCCTGAGGAGCACCACTGTCCCATGCTGTCCCACCCCTTTGCTGGCTGGAGCACCTGTGTGCACCCAGAGCTCACACCTCACCCAGGAGGAAGAGGGCTTACTGTACCAGGGTAGAACAGATATGGCAAAAGGACAACCTAAAGCAGTCTCATCTTCCAAATAGAGATAATTATGCCAGGGGACTGCACCAGATGACCTCTTAAAATCCCTTCCAGTTTAAAAATCCAGGATTCCGTGACTGTAAAAAGTGAATGGAGGAGCCAGGGAAACCACCTCCAACAAAGAAAAGCCCAGGCTCTAGGATTTAGCATCTGCAATGACGGTATTGTTCCTGACAATACTCAAAAGTGCGTCCCCACACACAGCCTACTCAACAACCCTACGTGTGTGAGAGTTTTATCCCCCTCGTTTTATGGACGAGCACACGGAGGTTCGGATAGGTTAAGTGACTTGCGCAAGATCACAGGGCAAGCCGAACATTTGTCACTTCTCTGTTCCTCTTCCCAGCTCCCCCAGAGGAAGACAGTGAGCAGTTGAGGGACCGGGGTGCTCAGGCATGCAGGCCCGGCCCCCAAGTAGAGGCTAGACTCTCAGGACTCCTAGGCAGGGGTTTGGTGTAAAGGCTTTTTGTTTTTTTTCCATTTGTCTGATTTCTTCATTCCCGCTGACACCTCATCCATGTGAGGGAAGCAAAAGCAAAGCTACTCAGTGTCCAGTGCCCATGGCTGCCAGGTCTGCAGGCCTCTGGCCATCCTGTCCTCCTCTCCCCCCCGCCCCAGGGCCTAACCCCGAAATCTGGCCTCAAGCCAGCCCAGAGCAAGCCCAGGGATGTTCCCAACCAACCAGAAAACCCAGCTGGGAAGCACATTCCTAGAAGAGCCTGCCACCATGAAGCCAGGGCCCAACCTCCAGGGAACGAGTGGGAGCCACTCCAAAGGGCACTCCTCACTCAGCCTCGTCCCGCCAGGACTTCCTCCCTGTCCCACGCCGGGCTGCTGGGCCTCGGGCCCAGGAAGCAGCAGGAGGAGTAGGGGGGAAGGTGGCAGGGGTGCATGAGAAACAGAAGTCAGGGAGGACCTCCCTGGACCCGGAGGAGTCCTGCTCATCTGGGAACAGCACATCCCTTCACCCCAACTCAACTTCCAGACTCAGGCCATTTCAGAAAGAGGAGAGGAAGGAAAGGGGCACGTGTCTGAGCAGGGGCGGAGGGCTCAAGATGGTGTCCGACGCCCCCCCACCCCCCTGCAGGAGAAGTCCGCCTCCCACAGGCAGGCCGATGAGGATGTGCACAGACAGCTGCAGCTCTTCTGAGAAAGCCCTGGAGGTCAGTTTTGCTGCAGATATGACAGTGCAGAATCACTGACATGTGAAGTGAAAGTTTTGGTTTTAGAAGCTCTAGTCTCTGGGGCAGCCAAGAAGGGTGCCCTTTGGAGAAGAAAATAAGGTGTTCTAGGGACCTTCCCCATACAGCGGGCTTCTCTCGACCTTTACAAGCTGCAGGGAAGAGAGGAACACAGAGCTCCAGGTCCCAGGGAGTGTGCCTGCTGAGAAACACTCCAGGAGGCAAAGCACCCAAGACAGGCTTACAAACTCTGGGTCCCGATGAGGGCAGAAAATGGCCTTACAGAGGCTTCCTGGGGCTGCACCAGCTCTCTGGACTTGGCTCCGAGTGCCCGTCAGTGCCCCGAGTGGCCATCAGCAGTGTCCACTTCTGGGACAACCCGAGACCAGTAAAAAGCTTCCGAGGGTGAATTCTGTGGTATTGAATTATATTCCAAAAAAGGTGTTACTAAGAGGGAAAAAAAAGCTTCCAAGGAAGCCAGGTCGTCCCTACCCACACACCCACCTCCATGAACTTTCTGCTGCCATCAGTCACTACTTCAGCAGGGGTTTTCTTCCCCCCAAACCCCAGCCTGCATTCCTACCCTTTTTCCATTGTCCCTTCTCTGTCAGGATCTTTCCATGGAGGCCAGCACAAATGGTGTGTTTCAGCGAATAAGCAACCTTTACTGGAGTCTGGGGAACTGAGGAACAAATACAGTTGGGGAAATCACAAATCGACAGTGCTGGGTTCCTTGTGTCCCTGCTGTCGTTTCCCTTTGCAGAATAAAGGTGCCGCCTCTAAGACCTCATTACCTACAGTTTCAACAGAAGAAAGACAGGTTGTGGGAAAAACAGTGAACCAGGACGGAGTCTTGCCAAACTACAGCTAACACCCTGCGTGATCTCAGGAAAGTTGACACCTCTGAGCCTCACTTTTTTGGGCCCAAAACAGATGTACTGAATTTGTTACACGGACAATGAGAGAACACACACCTTCTATGGGCTTGGGAGAATTCCAAGGGCAAAAAACTGCTTTCTGACGGTATCGTGTTATGTACACTTAAGGGGTTACAACTGTTCTTATTTCTACTGTTTTAGCCTATATCCCCTTCTCCGAAAACTAGCTTCTTTCTTTCAAGAACCTAGTCCAGGCAAGATCTTTTTCCCCCCCCTTGAAAACCCCTGGGTCCATCCCCATATGCCTCAGGGTGACCCTCTGCTGGGCTCAGCCCAGACTCTTGCCAACCCTGACACAGAGTTCCATCCGGGTGTCCCTCCAGGGCTCGCCTCCCAGTCTCTTCGTGTCCTTTCCACCATTCTTCTTCCCCAATGCCACCCACCAGCCTGAGGAGGGACGCTCTTCGGATGGCCATTGCCTTCTCCTCACCCCTTTTTGTCATGTCCCTTCTGAGGGGGCAGGGAGCTCAAAACCACCCCAGCCAGTAAGTTAAGCCACCGTGTGCCACGAAGTCCCTGCACCGTGGGGTGCTTCTCTTTTATCCTTGAAAACCCAGGAGACCCTCCTCCTCCTTTCACATTTCCGTCACCTGTTCTGGGGCAGGGCCATGCCTGCCACACCAGCCCACAGCTGGCTGCATCCTTCGGCCCTCCCACCTACCCTCGCCTCCACCTCCCTCTCTTGCAGGCCCGAGCTAGGTTCTTAGTGCCTTTGTCAGGCCTAAGAGGGAGCTTCTGCAGATGTCCCCAGTTGCTGCTGTCACTCTGGGAGCGACATCTGGGTGTAGTGGGAAGGACACAACAGGTGTGGCTGCCAGGGAGGGCGGGCCAGCAGGGCCGCGGGGACAGAAGCACCCTTTCTTCACAGAGCCAAGGCCTCCTTTCAGCACGGTGCCATGCCCCCTGCGGAACCAGCCCCAGACAGACTCCGTCACTGGCTATTGGCGGGAGCTCAGCTTCCCTACCTTGTGGCCGTGGGCCAGGAGGGACAGGACCCACAAGATCGAGTGTGTGCAATGGGGCATGCTTTAAAAACATTATCTTTAAATGAAAACAAATACTGATAGGCCATGGACTAGAATCCCAAGTTCGTGTTCATGGGAGTGTTCAGGTTAAGAGTAAGAGCCAAGACCTAAATCCAAATCTTGGCTCATGCTAGCCTGATGACCTTGAGCAAGTTCCTTAACCACTTGGTTTTCTCATCTGCAAAACGGAGACAAGAGCTTCATAGTATGTGGCACACATGAAGTCTTTTCTAAGTGTTGGCTATGGTTTTTTCTCATCTCCGGATTGATCCCCTTGCTTCTGGCCTGGCACTCACCATCCTCACTGCCATTAGAGTGATCACATCCCTTTTGAGCCCACTGGCCAAACTGTTAGGTGTGGACGCTTCAGGCATTACCGGCTCTGTCCTGCTTCTCAGCCCGAGGGTCACACAGCCAAACAAGCTGAAGTTCCTCAAGATGCCTGCTTGCTCACGCATGCTCCTCCTCCCCCCACCTTCATCCACAGGTAAACCCACACCCCTAGTCTCCCATCAGACTTGAACTCAATGGCAACTCTTCCGGGAAGCCTTCCTTGACCACTCCAAGCAGAGGAAGGCCACTGG